CCTGCAGGCCTGATATGAGGATTTCATTTAAAACCAATTGAAATCTGTGCCAACAGGACTGCATAAGATGGAGGTGAAGGAGGGGAGAAGGGAGAGACAGCAGTGAAAGGAGGGAATGGGGGGGAAGGCAAGGAAGGTGGGGAGCGGTTCTGCTGCAGTAGATGTCTATCCTTCCAGCAGCAGCAGATTTTGAACCGCTTTCTGCCACTTTCAGAGGCACTGCATTGGGAGACTCCACCTGGGTCACAAACAGTCAGCATGCTGAAATTTATCTCACCAGGGAGCAAGAGGGAAGGTGGGGGAGGGGAAGTAGTGCAGTATTCTCCTTCTATTTCAGATCCATCCATCCATCCATCCATCCATTAGCTTTAACAAAATTTGGCTTTCCTTTTGCTGGTGGTGGGGAGATCAGGCCTGGGGTCTTGGCAAATGCTCTCTGCAGCAGCTTTCTCTCCTTATTAGAATAATTCTTTATTCCTCTCCCGAGGAAGAGGTTTCAGATTTCAGCTCAAAGGTGGGAATATTAGATTTCAGGGCCTCTGGTGCCCTGAGCGATCAGACCTGAATGGATCGGTTTGCCATTCCTCGCGGTTAGCGCTGCGGGATTAGTGCAGGGCTTTCACATCCCATTCATTTCTTTCTGAGCATTGTTTTCTTTCTGCACGTGCACCCCCTTCCCCCCGTTCCAGCTCTCAGGCAGGGAGCCTCCTGCCTTGCTCAGACTTGGGTTTGGCTGGAGAGAGGCTTTTTTCTCTTGTACTTTTGTTTGGATTTAAATGCAAAGAAGCTTTGTGTTGGTTTGCTGGCATCTCCATCGACTGAGCGCCCCCTCTTACCCACCCCCAGCATGTGAAAGCAGGTCTCTTCTCTGAGCAGATGCTGCTGCAGCTCCCTGGACATCTCGGGGACATGGAGAGTGGTGGAAGCAGCATGCCGGGTGCAATTGGATCAGAAAATGAGAGGAAGGGGTCAAATGGTGTAACTTGCACTGAACTGGTGCAGAGCAAGGCTCCAATTCACCCCTGGATCAGTGCAGAGTCCAGCTCAGCTATTGAGCTCTCAGGGCCATGTCTCTATCTAGCCCACTTTTACAAGATACCTGCAGGACTCACAAGAAATGCATCAGCCCACCCCCCATCACTGGCCCACCCCCGGCATGCCCTCTCTGCTGGAGGCTCCAGCAGGGGAAGAGAGGTGCAGAGGAGGCGGAACATGAGGGGGTGTTTTCTGCTCTGGGAGTATTCACCAGGGGGGCCATGCAGTCGCTTTGTGGCCCCTTTGCACCAACACAAAGGAGCTGCAGGATAACTGTGAATCCAGCTGCTGGCATGCAAGCCAAGTGTAATTTACACACCAGTGGGTGCACTGGGGGAACAGTAGGAGAAACAACTTATAGGAGCAATGGAGCTGCAGAACAGTGCCAAGCCTGCACAGTGCTTTGAATGTGTCAAGTGCTGCATGGGGGCTGTCGCTTCGTTACTGATGATTGTTATTTTTTGAATTCTCTCGTGGGGCCGCAGCCTGCTCTCTATTGCACTTATTCAGTTTCGAGCCACTCCAGCAAGTCATTCTGAATTCAGACTGGCGGAGCAGAGAGCAAATTCCGATCCTCTAAACCAAATCCTGCACTTCCTAAGCCACCCTCTCACATCTCTGTTGGGATCCGGAGGATCACTGGTGGATAGCTCAGTCAGTTGCCTGCACTGATGCCCCCTCAGTCCCTCCTGTGACCTGCCTGGGGTCTCCTGAGGGCTGTAATACTTTGGTCTGATTCTAGTTGCTGGGCTTAGTGTGGGACTGGCTGGGTGGAGTTGGTGGCCTGTGAGATACAGGCGGTCCAACTGGATGATCTAGTGGCCCTCTCTGGCTTTAAACTCTATGACTCGAAGGATTGCTTAGGGTGTAAATAGGGCAGAATCTTGCCCTGTGCATCTGTCGTACCCTGGTATACATCAGGCACAGCTCCACTGAAGTAGTCAGAGTCTCCTGGGTGTAAATCCGGACACAGTGAGGTCAGAGTCATGCCCTCCCTCAGAAGAAATGCCTGCACTTCCGAGGGCTGAGGCAAACACAAGCCACACTGGTACTGCAGCTGGCAAACCGGTGTTGCGATAGCAGAGGCAGAGCCATGAGGTAGAGTAGCAGATTCGTCCATTGAGAGTAGAGTTTAAGCTTGCCCTGGGGTATGTCTACCCTGTAATCACGGGGTGGAATTGGAGCACGTGCAGGCACATCCAAGCCAGCTTAAGTGTAGCTAGCTCGGGTACTGGAGTAGTGAGGCCGTGGAGGTACGGGGTTCCGCGTGGGCTAGCCATGGGAATAATTACCCAGCATTCCTGGGAGGCTTGTACAGCCTGTACTGATGGGCAGGCTGCTACCGCTTCACTGCTATTGGTAGCTGAGCTAGCTAGAGTAAAGCTGTCTCCAGTCTGTCTACAGGCACTGCAGTCACGTCTGCCATGCAGTATGGACGGACACTCAGACAGCATTGCTGGCCCTAAGAATGTGTTTGGCTTTTGGTTTTTCCCTCTCTTTTTTTCCTTTCCCTCCTTTTCCAGCAGCAAAATGAAAAAAGGGAAACAAGGAAAAAGCAGGAAAGGGCAGAGGGAAGAAAAACTTATTTAGTTTTGTAAATTTTTTTCATTGAAAACCTGGAAAATGTCAAAAGAAACCAAGATTTTCTGCAAAAGTTTTCACTGGGGCCAGGGAGGCAGTTTTCCATTGGAAAATGTTCCCAGTGGGAAATTCGGAACCAGTGCTACTACAGCCCTGGAACTGTAAGAGGAGAGAGGGCGCTGAGGGTCAGGGTTGCCGTGCGTTGGAACAGGGCCCGGGGAATGCTCACGTGCTTGTACTATGCTTGGCTCTGACCAGGGCTGTTAGCCCTGTGACTTCTGTAAGCATTAAACCCACATACAGTTTTCAAGAAAGAAGCAAACACCTTAATGAAAAGAAAAGGAGGACTTGTGGCACCTTAGAGACTAACCAATTTATTTCAGCATGAGCTTTCGTGAGCTACAGCTCACTTCATCGGATGCATTCAGTGGAAAATACAGTGGGGAGATTTATATACACAGAGAACATGAAACAATGGGTGTTACCATACACACTGTAAGGAGAGTGATCACTTAAGATGAGCTATTAGCAGCAGGAGAGCGGGGGGGGGAAGAAAACCTATTGCAGTGATAATCAAGGTGGGCCATTTCCAGCAGTTGACAAGAACGTCTGAGGAACAGTGTGTGTGTGTGGGGGGGGAATAAACAGGGGGAAATAGTTTTACTTTGTGTAATGACCCATCCACTCCCAGTCTCTATTCAAGCCTAAGTTAATTGTATCCAGTTTGCAAATTAATTCCAATTCAGCAGTCTCTCCTTGGAGTCTGTTTCTGAAGTTTTTTTGTTGAAGTATTGCCACTTTTAGGTCTGTAATCGAGTGACCAGGGAGATGGAAGTGTTCTCCGACTGGTTTTAGAGTGTTATAATTCTTGACATCTGATTTGTGTCCATTAATTCTTTTACGTAGAGACTGTCCAGTTTGACCAATGTACATGGCAGAGGGGCATTGCTGGCACATGATGGCATATATCACATTGGTAGATGTGCAGGTGAATGAGCTTCTGACGGTGTGGCTGATGTGATTAGGCCCTATGATGGTGTCCCCTGAATAGATATGTGGGCACAGTTGGCAACGGGCTTTGTTGCAAGGATAGGTTCCTGGGTTAGTGGTTCTGTTGTGTGGTGTGTGGTTGCTGGTGAGTATTTGCTTCAGGTTGCGGGGCTGTCTGTAAGCAAGGACTGGCCTGTCTCCCAAGATCTGTGAGCGTGATGGGTCGTCCTTCACGATAGGTTGTAGATCCTTGATGATGCGTTGGAGAGGTTTTAGTTGGGGGCTGAAGGTGATGGCTAGTGGTGTTCTGTTATTTTCTTTGTTAGGCCTGTCCTGGAGTAGGTGACTTCTGGGTACTCTTCTGGCTCTGTCAATCTGTTTCTTCACTTCAGCAGGTAGGTATTGTTGTTGTAAGAATGCTTGATAGAGATCTTGTAGGTGTTTGTCGCTGTCTGAGGGGTTGGAGCAAATGTGGTTGTATCGTAGAGCTTGGCTGTAGACAATGGATCATGTGGTGTGGTCTGGATGAAAGCTGGAGGCATATAGGTAGGAATAGTGGTCAGTAGGTTTCCGGTATAGCGTGATGTTTATGTGACCATTGCTTATTAGCACCATAGTGTCCAGAAAGTGGATCTCTTGTGTGGACTGGTTCAGGCTGAGGTTGATGGTGGGATAGAAATTGTTGAAATCATGGTGGAATTCCTCAAGGGCTTCTTTTGCATGGGTCCAGATGATGAAGATGTCATCAATGTAGCGCAAGTAGAGTAGGGGCATTAGAGGACGAGAGCTGAGGAAGCGTTGTTCTATGTCAGCCATAAAAATGTTGGCAAACTGTGGGGCCATGCGGGTACCCATAGCAGTGCCGCTGATTTGAAGGTATACATTGTCCCCAGATATGAAATAGTTATGGGTGAGGACAAAGTCACAAAGTTCAGCCACCAGGTTTGCCGTGGCATTATTGGGGATACTGTTCCTGGTGCATCCAACTGAGATGTGTGATGCTCATGCCATGACAGTCTTGACTCCTCCCCGGAGACTAAGGGCAACATTCAAACCCAGGTACATACATGTACATTTAGAGGGTACCCAAGGCTGTAAATGAGAGTTTTATCTCAGAACAGACATTAAAGGAAACAGCAGCCGAAATGATCGGATGACCCAGGTGTTGGAATACCAAAGAACCTGATCCAGCAAGGTGCCAATCGGCTCTTGCAAGGCACTGAGTGCCTTCAACCTTCCTGAAAGTCTGTCTTGCCTCTTGCATCAGACACCTTGTTTGTGATTGCTAAGAAAACTGAGACATGAGTATTAGCTGGGCTAAACCATTAGAGGTTGGAGGTAGTTACTTCCCCGCATCTCTCTCTTAATGACACTGAATGCGCTTGCAATTCCAGGTGGCGTGGTCCTCAATCCAGCCTATTATGGCATGCCTGGCCATACCAACACCATGATCCACGAAGTAGGACATATCCTGGGACTCTACCATGTCTTTAAGGGAGTGAGCGAAAGGGAATCTTGTGATGATCCCTGCAGGGAGACTACACCTTCTATGGAGACCGGAGACCTCTGTGCTGACACAGCCCCTACCCCCAAAAGTAAACTCTGCCGAGATCCAGACCCTACCAATGACACTTGTGGCCACACCCACTTCTCCGGAACGCCGTTCAACAACTACATGAGCTACACAGGTAACTGGAGGGAATTGTTATTGTATCAGCTAGAAATTCAGCTGAAGAAACCAGAGTCCTATGTCCAAAGCAATGCAAGGGTAAGAGCTAAGCCCCTACAGACTGGTGCTTTGGCCTGCACAACCACTGCGTAGCGGTACGATTGAATTCATTACCCTGTGCAACTGTTTTGTGGTGCCGCTGGCCTGAAAAGGTGCCATACAAACATATAACCAATATCTGTTCTGCTGCTGACAGTCAATGAAATGGGCCAGATCCTAAAGACCTTACTGAGTTTTTACTCAGGCCTAACTCCTCCAAATTCCAATTGACTTAGAGCTCTGAGGCAGAGCTGCTTTAGACACAGCAGCGACTTTGATGAGTGAAGAGCTGTTTGCAATACCTGGCTGGCAAATATTAGGGTCGATAATAACGTGCTGTTATGCATGTGCTAAGCTCAATGTAATCAGATCTCATGCTCCAGGGTATAAGATGGTCACCTGCTGGGCTCAGGAAGGAGTACACTTCCCACGCACCAGCCACACCATTGCACAGTGGATTGATTGGCTTCTGGGACTCCTCACCTTCCCTGGCAGCATCAGGTCATGGCAGGCACTGGATGCAGGATCCTACATCAGATGTGCTATGGGCCCATGCTGTGGGCTGGAAGCTCAGAGGATGTAAATTGGCATAGCTCCATGGAAGCCAGTCCAGTAGCACTGGCTCTGGCTCTGTGCTCCTTCTGTGCGTGTGTTGGAGGAGCGCAACAGAGCAGGCAGAAATGCCTGGCCTGCCTCATCATGGCAGCCACACAGTGTCACTGGCAGCAATGCCCTTCTGTCCTTAACGAGGTCTGAGAGCCACTGATTTTCATCCATCTGTTAATTTTTTTTAAAAGAACCTTGCAGTATGCTCTGAGTCCCTTGTCTTTCCCGCACAGCTTCATCCCTATTTGGCTTAACAAGGGTATTGGCCATCTGCATGGCTCAGGAAAGCACCCCTGTGCTGCGGAGAGGTCTAGTCAGGAAAACAAACAGCTGCTGAAATAGTGCCATCTTGTGGCCGACTGGAGAAATAACATGAGGAGTCATGTAAGACAAGCCATGGGGAATCTCTCTAGCCCAGGGCATTTGTGTTCTTCTCGGCTCCTTCAGGAGAGCCTTAAAACAGGACTATATTTAGTAATTAATACTGCTAATGACCACTTATATAATGCCTTTCACACAAGGATCTCAAAATGTTTCACAGACCAGTCAGTCCCTTCCCTCCTTTCTCTCTCAGACGATGACTGCACGGACAGTTTTACCCCCAACCAAGTGGCTCGAATGCATTGCTATTTGGATCTGGTGTACCAGCGATGGAGCCAGAGCAGAAAGCCCACTCCAATCCCCATGCCCCCAGTAGTCACTGGGCAGGGCCAAGACTCCCTCACCATCCACTGGCTGCCTCCCATTAGTGGCGTTCTCTATGAAAGGTAAGAGGCATTGTCACTGAGAAGGTCCCATGCTTGGCTGAGCATGCCAGAAAACCGGCATAAATTAAAACGTGCCGGCCTGACTGATAGCCTCTTGCTTCTTCTAGATCACTTTGGCCAGGAACTGGTTTTGTAGTCCTACCACTGACCTTGGCCCATACCTGGATCCCTAAACAACTGCCTGTACTTGCTTCCACTGGGAATTGCCTGTCACCATTTATTTGTCCGTGGTTCTCTAGGAAAAGTCATTTGGCACTGAACCAGGGAATTTCAAAAGTTAGTGAAGGTGATGAAGATGAGTTGGCAAAACCCTCAATCTCTTTGCCAACTGGCAGACCCTGCCTGGTTTTTGTGTGTGTGTTTTGAGTGGGTGGAGAGCGGGCAGCTATTTGTGCAGCTGCCTTGTAGAAATAGAGGAACGAGGCAACCCCCCCAGTTACATTCACTAGAAAAAAACGCCTGGTTACAAGTTTACTACTGTGATGGCAGTGTGTGCTGGGGTGTCAAGCAAGCATCCTCCGAAAAGCATTCCACTATTGGGGGGGCTCAGAGAGAGTGCCAAAGGGTTGTGTGCCATCAGGAGACAATGCCAAATGCAACCTGAGAGCGCAGTTACTGAATGAAAAAAGGGCTTTGCTTAGCACTTACTGGATAAACTACTGATTTATGAGGAGGGAATATGGTCTTGTGGTTAACGCACAGGACCAGGAGCCAGAATGTTGGGATTTGGATCCCTGCTTTGTGACTTCGAGCACGTCAGTAATATTTTCAGATGTCAGTATCTTAAGTTAGCCCCTTCAGTTCCTAGCTAGGCACCTGACTAAAAGGAGCCTGACTTTCAGGGGTGCTGAACAGTCACATTCATCTGGAATTGTGGAGACTCATTGTTCTCAAGATCAGGCCTCTTTTGTCTGAGTGCCTGACGTCAGAGACTCAAGTTTACACATATCGTCGACACTAACTGAATATTTAATAATGAAATCCTCTGAGTCCCTGAGCTGGGAAGCGCTCAAGATCGGCAGCTGGTTATTGCTCTAGAATTGGCATCGCATACATTTTTAAAAATCGCATAGGCCAGAGTCCTAATCATGAAGTCAGTGAAAACCCAGTGTGGCCCAATTGATAGAGCACTGGACTGGGATTCCGGGGACCTGCTGTCTAGTCCTGGCTCTGCCACTGGCCTGCTGGGTGACATTGATCAAGTCACTTCCCCTCTCTGTGCCTCAGTTTTCCTATCTGTAAAATGGGGGTAAGGATATTTATGTCCTGCATAAAGAGCATTGAGACCTATTGATGAAATGCATCATATAAGAGCTTGGTAATATTTATTTATTACTCCCTTTGACTTCAGCGGGCTTTGGAGAGGACTGTATGTAATCTGTCCTTTTCTTTATTAATGCCCTGGGAAATGTTTGTATAGACCTGAGACTGACAGTAGCCGAGGCCCTGATTCACTAGTCCATCCATGTTCACCAAAGCACTTAAGCATGCGCTCATCTTTAGGCATGTGCTTCTTCGGTCCCATTGACTTTAATGGGACTTACACACATCCTGAAAATTAAGCATGTTTAATTGTTTAGGTGACTAGGGCTTAAATATTGTCTTCATTTGGGGCCTTACAAAGCTTAGCAGCTTGTGAATACTGTGAGTTACAATGGCAGTGCAAAGCGGTTGTGCCCATAAGCCATTTGCAAAAGAATAAGAATAATACTTCTCTAACAGCTACCAGCTCAAAGCCCTTTGCGAAGGTGAGTGAAGTCTCGCATCCCCCTGAAAGCATTTTACAAATCTGGCCTTTCAAATGCCTTTTAATTCATAGAAAATTGATGTCTGAGGACATCCTGCCCAATTAGGGAATAATTGCTCCCTAGCTGCACCAAATGGCTCATATGCCATTTGGGAGCCAGAACAGCACTGTATATGTCACACAGTGAGGGCACAGACAGGTGTCTGAACCATCAAATGGGCTTGCATCATTAAAAGAATGGCCCGAGAAGGAAAGCGGAGGCTTATGATTGAAAAATACTGCAGCGCGTTCAGGACTAACTGAATGGAATGTTTTGACATTGTCTTTAGAGCAGGAAATACTGCCCTGGTCCCTCGTTAACTTAATGCTGACACTTTAATTAAACATGATCGCTTATTTGTATTATGGGGGCATCTAGAGGCCAAAGCTGAGTGCATGGCTCCACTTGTGCCAGGCTCTGTACGTACACATAGTATGAGACGTACTTTGGCCCAGACTGCTTACAGTCTAAATAGTCAAGGCAGACACAGGAAAGGCTATTCTCCCCATTTTTGAGCGGGGAAGCTGAGGCACAGAGCGTTTACTGACCTGTCTGAGATCACACGGGGAATCTGTAGACAAGCTGGGGATCCAACCCAGATCGCCAGTATGGTACCTTAACCAGAAGGTTTCCCTTTCCCTCCCCAGCCTCTGCCAGAGCTGGCTGTGAGAACAAGCAAGCCAAGCAGCTGGCTCTTATGGGCTTCCCATGTCATGCCGAGTTGGGGATTGAGTGAGAAGAGTCCAAGTCTGATCAGAAACTGTGGGGGAATAGAGTCTTCCTCATTCATTCTCATTCTCTCTCTCTCTCTCTGTTCTGCAGGGACCCCAGCACCCTCTGCGGGGACTGTGCTGAAGATGGTACTTTCAGCCAATATGTGCATGAGGCCTCTTCCCCTCGAGTCTGTGACTCCTCCGGCTACTGGACCCCTGAGGAGGCAGTAGGTAAAGTGCCTTGTCCTCTCTCATTCACAGTGACTGCCACTCCGCTCGGTGGAGATGAGATCATCTGAGACCCAATTTTCCATATCTTTCTGCTCTATCTAAATTTAAATATCCTCTTGGTAGAAGATTGCATAAGGTAAAGCTCAGCTCCCAGGGACCGTACTGGAGATACCAGCAACTTTGGGGTGCAGGGAGCTCATCAGTGTTACTAACAGCTTCCCAGGAGGGTGTTGGAGAGAGAAAAGAGGCACCTGGAAACCTGTTCAGTTGGTCTGATGTCACCAAAAGAAAAACCAGTGTATGGTGCACCCACCTCTTTGGCTTTGGATCAAACCCTATAGGAGCCTTCTCTTGGACTTCCATGGACTTTGATCCAGCCACAGAGAGTGGCATACTCTTCCTGAGGTGTTGGTGAGAATCTCATTTCTTGGATCATTTAGGTCCAAGCAGAGCCCTGGAGAACACAGCGTAGGGAACAGTCCTTCTTCCCCACCAACGGGATGGATGGGATGAACTGATAGGTGTATCCAGTTTCAAGTGTTTATGAGCCAGGGAGGTCAGTTTAAAAAGCACCCTGGGGCAGGTTATCTTGCCCCTAGCCTTGCCTACCAGACAAGTTACAGCATGAATCACACTGGCATGCACGTGCCCCTGGCATAGGAAAGAGCCAAGGGTTTCATGGTGTCACTGGAAACTTCCGCTCGAGACTGGAGCGGGGTGGAAACCTCTCTCGCAATCAGAGAAAGTGACAAATGAGGGGGAAAAAAGAGGTTGTGCCAATTTGGTTAAACAGCAGAACGTTTGGAGCGGTTAGCTTCAGCGTTTTCCATTTCCCGGGCTGTCAGGTGGCCGTGTCATCCCTTGCAGATCAGAACTGGCTTTCCCCTTAGCAGATGCTAAATTTTTCTCCACACCAGTGTGCAGTTTTCACCAGTATGTATCAGCTGGGGTGAGAGAGAGAAACAGTTCTGCACAACCTGGGGGATTTTATGGGGACAGTGACACAAGTCCAGGCCTTGGATAGGCACTAAATAGAACAATTGTTTGTGGCCTTGGGAAAAATTGGGCGTTTTCAGCAGAGTCCGTAAACTTGAAATTGGTTACGCTCAGCTTCTCTTTCCATGGCTCAGAGCACATCCGTGTTGGTTTCCCTTGCTGACTGCATAGGGCTCAATCCTGAGCAAGCTTTGCTGTCGCTGATGGGGTGGAGGCAAAGGTGGCTCTCGGCCCAGTCTGCTCCAGGGCTGAGATGGGCCCCTGATAAACAGGACTTCCACTAGGGACTATTATGCTGGTGATCCCAAGCCAGCAGACAGCCATGCCCTCTCCTGCCCTTGGCCCACCCCAGAATGCCCCTAATGCTTTACACCACTCCCTGTGACAGAAGAACCGCCAGCTGCCCCTATAGAAAAGCATCAAATTCCTTTTGTGCTGCTTCGCCTAGGAGAATGATCTAATCCCTGACCCCTTCAGCCTTGGAACGTTTGGAGATCAAATAAGAATTCAGAGGCAAACTTGGCAGCATGGGCCCATCTGTACTGATGACACTCAGCCAGCCGGGTGTGCTCCTCTGCTCCTCCTCACTCGAATGCACTCACCTAATAGGGCCATGAGCCCTGCATTGGGATCTGCCTGAAAACTAGTTTCCATAACTTCTCCTCTGTAAGCTTGTGCCTAAGAATGGGAAGGATGGTCCGAACAAAACCTAGCACTAATGCAGGGTGAGAGGTGTCGGCAGTTAACTCATGCTAATTGCTCTCCATCGCAGGTGTATAGTTAGTATGCCAGTGGCACTGAGACCAATCACAGAATCCTGCTTGGTGCAGTCCGTGTCTGTGTGTCCAGGCATGTGTGGGTTTGTGTGTGTGTGCAGGTATACCTGTGTTTCTGACAAAATGAACGCATGTGTCTGCAGGTGTTCCTGTGGATACACAGGTATATAGAGTATGTGTTTGTGCCTGAGTCATTGTACAGTTCTGTGCAAAGGGGGGATGTTTGCACTGACCTGTTTGATAAGATTGGGTCGGGGGTTCCTCTCTTGTGAGAATTTTTGAGATTTTGAACATTTTTCCCCTCCCAGATCAGAACAAAAAGTCAAGAGCTTGAACATTTTTCTGAACCGATAAACTGAAAAATATTCTGGTTTGGGATTTCAAAACATTTAGATTTGGACCTTTTTTCATTTTTGAAACTTTTTTTAGTATAAATGAAGTTAAATTTTGAAACAAAAAAAGTGGTTTTGAACTGAAAAACTGAAATGTTTTGTTTAGCCAATGGAGAAGTGACCCATTTCAACAATGTCAAAACTCTTTTTCAACTTTTTATTGGTCGCGCAATCCATGGAGACTGGCCATTCCCACAAAACCATTGGTTTTGGTTTCAACAAATGAGCCAAAACCATTTTGTTGAAAAATTCCTAGATACGCATGTTCAGGCCTGTGTACGTCTGTGCAGGCATGCGTGTAGGGTGGGATACATATGTTTGTTTCTTGATGCTGTTAGGGATCTGAGGATTTATGCATGGAGACGCAAGTTTGTTTGATATCTGTATGCTCTGAGACATTTGAGCACACACTGTATGTTGGTGCTTATGTGTGGCTGTGTGCATATGATGGCATCATTGTCTAATAATAATAGAATAATAGAATCTCAGGGTTGGAAGGGACCTCAGGAAGTCATCTAGTCCAACCCCCTGCTCAGCAGGACCAATCCCCAGCTAAATCATCCTAGCCAGGGCTTTGTCAAGCCTGACCTTAACCTCAAAGAAAGGAGATTACACCACTTCCCAAGGTAATGCATTCCAGTGCTTCACCACCCTCCTAGGGAAAAAGTTTTTCCTAATATCCAACCTAAATCTCCCCCACTGCAACTTGAGACCATTACTCCTTGTTCTGTCATCTGCTACCACTGAGAACAGTCTAGATCCATCTTCTTTGGAACCCCCCCCTTCAGGTAGTTGAAAGCAGCTATCAAATCCCCCCTCATTTTTCTCTTCTGTAGACTAAATAATCCCAGTTCCCGCTACCTCTCCTCATAAATCATGTGTTCCAGTCTCCTAATCATTTTTTGTTGCCCTCCGCTGGATGCTTTCCAATTTTTCCACATCCTTCTTGTAGTGTGGGGCCCAAAACTGGACACACTACTCCAAATGAGGCCTCACCAATGCCGAATAGAGGGGAACGATCACATCCCTCGATCTGCTGGCAATGCCCTTACTTATACAGCCCAAAATGCCGTTTGCCTTCTTGGCAACAAGGGCACACTGACTGATATCCAGCTTCTCATCCACTGTAACACTTAGGTCCTTTTCTGCAGAACTGCTGCCGAGCCATTCAGTCCCTAGTCTGTAGCGGTGCATAGGATTCTTCTGTCCTAAATGCAGGACTCTGCACTTGTGCTTGTTGAACCTCATCAGATTTCTTTTGGCCCAATCCTCCAATTTGTCTAGGGCCCTCTGTATCCTATCCCCACCCCCCAGCGTATCTATCACTCCTCCCAGTTTAGTGTCATCTGCAAACTTGCTGAGGGTGCAGTCCAGGCCATCTGCCAGATCATTAATGAAGATATTGAACAAAACTGGCCCCAGGACCGACCCTTGGGGCATTCTGCTTGATATCGGTTGCCAGCTAGACATGGAGCCATTGATCACTACCTGTTGAGCCCGACAATCTAGCCAGCTTTCTACCCACCTTATAGTCCATTCATCCAGCTCATACTACTTTAACTTGCTGGCAAGAATACTGTGGGAGACCGTGTCAAAAGCTTTGCTAAAGTCAAGGAATAACATGTCCACTGCTTTCCCCTCATCCATAGAGCCACTTATTTCGTCATAGAAGGCAATTAGATTAATCAGGCATGACTTGCCCTTGGTGAATCCATGCTGACTGTTCCTGATCACTTTCCTCTCCTCTAAGTGCTTCAGAATTGATTCCTTGAGGACCTGCTCCATGACTTTTTCCAGGGACTGAGGTGAGGCTGACTGGCCTGTAGTTCCCCAGATCCTCCTCCTTCCCTTTTTTAAAGATGAGCACTACATTAGCCTCTTTCCAGTCATCCGGGACTTCCCCCGATCGCCATGAGTTTTCAAAGATAATGGCCAATGGCTCTGCAGTCACATCCACCAACTCCTTTAGCACTCTCGGATGCAGCACATCTGGCCCCATGGACTTGTGCTCATCCAGCTTTTCTAAATAGTCCTGAACCACTTCTTTCTCCACAGAGGGCTGGTCACCTCCTCCCCATGCTGTGCTGCCCAGTGCAGTAGTCAGGGAGCTGACCTTCTTCGTGAAGACAAAGGCAAAAAAAGCATTGAGTACATTAGCTTTTTCCACATCCTCTCTCACTAGGTTGCCTCCCTCATTCAGTAAGGGGCCCATACTTTCCTTGACTTTCTTCTTGTTACTAACATACCTGAAGAAACCCTTGTTGTTGCTCTTAACATCTCTTGCCAGCTGCAACTCCAGGTGTGATTTGGCCTTCCTGATGTCATTCCTGCATGCCTGAGCAATATTTTTATAGTCCTCCCTGGTCATTTGTCCAATCTTCCACCTCTTGTAAGCTTCTTTTTGTGTTCAAGATCAGCAAGGATTTCACTGTTAAGCCAAGCTGGTCGCCTGCCATATTTACTGTTCTTTCTCCACATCGGGATGGTTTGTTCCTGTAACCTCAATAAGGATTCTTTAAAATATAGCCACTCTCCTGGACTCCTTTCCCCTTCATGTTGTTCTCCCAGGGGATCCTGCCCATCAGTTCCCTGAGGGAGTCAAAGTCTGCTGTTCTGAAGTCCAGGGTCCATATTCTGCTGCTCTCCTTTCTTCCTTGTGTCAGGATCCTGAACTTGACCATCTCATGGTCACTGCCTCTCAGGTTCCCGTCCACTTTTTTGCTTCCCCTACTAATTCTTCCTGCTTTGTAAGCAGCAGGTCAAGAAGAGCTCTGCCCCTAGTTGGTTCCTCCAGCACTTGCATCAGGAAATTGTCCCCTACACTTTCCAAAAGCGTCCTGGATTGTCTGTGCACAGCTGTATTGCTCTCCCAGCAGATATCAGGGAGATTGAAGTCTCCCATGAGAACCAGGGCCTGCGATCTAGTAACTTCTGTTAGTTACCGGAAGAAAGCCTCGTCCACCTCATTCCCCGGTCCGGAGGTCTATAGCAGACTCCCACCACAACATCACCCTTGTTGCTCACGCTTCTAAACTTAACTCAGACTCTCGGGTTTTTCTGCGGTTTCATACCGGAGCTCTGAGCAGTCATACTGCTCCCTTACATACAATGCAACTCCCCCACCTTTTCTGCTCTGCCTGTCCTTCCTGAACAGTTTATATCCATTCATGACAGTACTCCAGTCATGTGAGTTATCCCACCAAGTCTCTGTTGTTCCAATCACATCATAATTCCTTGACTGTGCCAGGACTTCCAGTTCTCCCTGCTTGTTTCCCAGGCTTCTTGCATTTGTGTACAGGCTGTGATGCAGCAGGGAGTGGGGAGTATTGAGCTGGGAATGGGAGACTTCCCTTGAGGGAAGATACCTGAGCCAGGGGGGGTGGGGGCGAGGTGACACCTTCTGCCCAGGAAACTGGACAAAGGCTGGAGGAGGAGCTCTGGGGAGGCTGGGTGAGATGGCTGGAGCGGGTATCAGTTTGGAGCAGCCTGGGGAAGAGGCAGGAGCCCCAAGGCTGGGGTTTAATCTCCCTGCCCACCAGAAGGGAGGGGTCTGACTGAGGGGTCTGGTTTGTGCCTACAAGCTTTGGTTTGGACTGTGTTCCTGTCATCTCTAATAAACCTTCTGTTTTACTGGCTGGCTGAGAGTCACGGTGAATCACAGGAAGTGGGGGGGTGGGGGGTGCAGGACCCTGTCTCCCCCAAACTTTGTGACGTAGGCACTTAAGATAACCCGCTGATCGTCCCGCTTTCTCAGTATGAGGCAGGAGTCCTCCCCTCTTGCGCTCTCCTGCTCGTGCTTCTCCCGGTATCTCCCTTCCCCACTTACCTCAGGGCTTTGGTCTCCTTCACACATGTGCGTATGTATCTGTGTTTATATGTGCATACATGGGGGGCATTCACCTCAATGTGTGTGCATGTATGTACAGACTATCATATATCTCTGCTACTGAAATGAACTGCCCTGCTCCTTATAGGGATCTATATTCTCCCCTTGTCTAGGCCCCCCAGATGTGGATCAGCCCTGTGAGCCCAGCCTGCAGGCCTGGAGCCCAGAGCTCCACCTGTACCACATGAACATGACTGTTCCTTGCCCCCAGCCGCATGGTTGTATCCTGGAGCTGCGTTTCCTGCACCCCGTGTACCCGGAGTCTCTTGTACTGTGGACCACCTACCTCTCCACAGACTCGCCCAAGGCCTTGTCTGACATTGAAATCCTGACGGAGCATGGGGAGTCCATTCACCTGGGCCCCCTGGACACTTTCTGCGACACCCCCCTCACTGTTAGGCTCAACGTCAACAGGAAGGTGTCTGGGGTAAAGGTCTACACCTTTGATGAGCGGATGGAGATAGATGCGGCTCTCTTAACCTCCATGCCCCAGAGCCCTCTCTGCTCCAGCTGCAAGCCTGTGAGGTACAGGATCCTGCGGGACCCCCCGTTTGCTAGCGGCTCCCCCATAACGGGGTTGCACATGCACCGAAAGTTCACCGACACGTGAGTAGCAAGATCGGTCCACCAAAGGCCCCGGGGGAGGGGGAGGGATGCTGTTCTAGTTCTCCTGGCTTCTGCATTTGGATTCATTGATGGTTTTTAGGACTCAGCCGCTTTGTGGTGAGCAGTGCCATAAACGCCCAGCCACAGAGTTTGCCCAGAACACCCCATTCCTTATGACAGTTCCGTGACACTAGCATGATACTCACCAGGAAGCTGTTTCCCACTAGAGAGAACTCTTTAACTTTGACACATTTCCCCATCTGTGGGACCAGGGTAATGACTGTTCAAGTCACGTAGGGTAGGGGATAATTTCATGCGATGGCCCACCTAGAGGGAAACATGGCAGGCTCCTCCGATTACTTGCTACAGATCCTCTTTCTATAGCCTCGGCTCGTGGCAATTGTAGAATTGGGGAGAAACCTACCTGTGCTTATGGCTTTGTGTATGTGCATGTGCCACAGTGCAATACATTCTCGTGGCTTGGATATATTGGCACCCTGAATGTTTTATTGATATAGAGACGGGCCATAACCAAAACCTCAGATCCAAATACCCCCAGACTCTGGGGACATGGGAAACTGGAATCTAGATTGGAATTTGCCAAATTATCCCTGTCTGCCTGCCTGGCTAAATTTACATGCTAGTTTTAAACACCCTAAACTTTGAGGGGGCTCAAAGCCCAGATCTGAACTGTGTGGCTTCTTTCCATCTATCCATCCATACCCAGGCCAAGCCATGCAAATTTCATTGAGATTCTGAGGACCATCTCTCCCACTCCTTGCCTCTCTTGTTCCCCTCCACCCCTAACACACACCATCTTTCCCTTCTTCCCCCTTGTAAAACCCAGGATCCTGTATCTAGAGCATCATCAGGGCCGGGCCAGGGGCAGAGCGGGGTTGAGCACCCCCCAGTAGGAGCAGAAGTGGGCGCCTATGGTTCTGTCACAGTCTGCCTTGTATCCCTACATGTCTTGTGGCTGTGCAGCTTTGGCCCAGAGCTCTGACCCCAGCAGCCTGCCAACAGGACATAACCCTCATCCTGGCTTTGCCCAACCTGGTTACTACTGGTTTGCAGCCTGGCCTTAGTACCCTTCTAGCCCCAGATTCATCCCAAAATCTTCCTACTGTAAGAACCAGCCCCTGTCACTGGACCCTCCCAGAGAAAGTGTTAGGTTTGCAGTCTCTCCAGAGACACCAATCTGTTAGCTTTCTAGAAGCACACAAGTTTAGAAAAGTTTCATCCTACTGGGGAAATTAGAAAGGAACATAAACTCTGGCAAGCCAAGTATAAAAGGCCGAAAAAGAATTTGAAGAGCAACTAGCAAAAGACACACAAACTAACTGAATTTTTTTAATGTACATCAGAAGCAGAAAGCCTCCCAAACAATCAGTGCAGCCACTGGACGATCAAGGTGGTCAAGGAGCACTCAAGGAAAACAAGGCTGTTGTGGAGAAGCAAAATGATTTTTTTGCATCAGTCTTTAATGCAGAGGCCATGAAGGAGTTTTCCACACCTGAGCCATTCTTTTTAGGTGAAAAATCTGAGGAATTGTCCCAGATTGAGGTGTCAATAGAGGAGGTTTTGGAACAATCTGATCAATTTAAACAGTAATAAGTCACCAGAACTAGAAGGTATTCACCCAAGAGTTCTAAAGGAACTTGGATATGAAACTGCAGAACTACTAACTGTGGTACGTAACTTATTGTTTAAATCAGCCTCTGTACCAGATGACTGGAGGATAACTAATGTAACACTTATTTTTAAAAAAGGCTCCAGAGGTGAACCTGGCAATTCCAGGCCAGCTAGCTTAACTTCAGTTGCAGGCAAATTGGTTGAAACTTGACACTATAGCAACCTTTGGTCTGTGGACCCCTGGGGGGCTGCAGACTAAGTCTAAGATTTCCAAAGAGGTCTGCATCTCCATTTGAAATTTTTTAGGGGCCCATAAATGAAAAAGGGTGAAAACCACTGACCTAGAAGAACATGGTATGTTGGGGAAGAGTCAACACGGCTTTTGTAGAGGGTAATCATAATCATGCCTCACCTTTGGATTTTCTTTGTCTTACAAGTCAGGAAGGCCTCTTGGGGATTCAGTCCTCTGTCTCTCTGGGGTGCAGGATCTATCTTCATTCTCTGTCTCTTGAGCTCAGGAACCCCTCCCACCCCCAGGTTTAGCTCAATAGTTTTGAATACTGCTAATATGTAAATTGAGGCGCACTGACATGCCTTTGCCTAGGCCACACCTTTTTATCACCTTTGCCTAGGCTCAGCTGCCTGATCTTCAACATGTTCTGGTAACATCATACAGAGGGAATTCATAACTTCACATGTAACGTTAACACATGAATTTCACAATGATAGTCATAACCTGCACGTTATTAGCTTTCACGTGGTACCTTGCACAACACCTTTTGGATAAATAGCATGACAACAAAGGTTTGGGTGCAGTGAGTTGGTTGGGTCTGAAGATAGACAGTGCACCCTGTGCCAGTGGGCATTAACGGCTCCTAGGGTCACACTTAGGTTTGGGATTGTTCCTATAGAGCTCTTAGCCTGCTTAGTACAAATACACCATTTAAAAATTCTTTTAACATTTTATTAAAGATCCAGAGAGGAAGGAAAAACAGTGAAAGTATTTGAAATGTGAAGTATCGAGTACGGCTTTTATTTTATCAACAGATTTTTTTCCCCTTTTCCTTTAGTTGGAGAGTTTTTTAGAAGGGAAAAACTCCCTTGTTTGACAGTCTCTTAGTTGGTATCAGATAGTTATCACTGCCCTTTGGGGGAAAAGAGAAGTAGGTAGTTGAAAATGACTGGAGCTGTTGTTAAAATCCAATCCTGTTGCATCCCAAGTGGTGTTGGAGATTCAGCTGGAACCAGTAGAGGCATTGATGTTTTCTGGAGCCCTCTCTCTGGCCTGGCCTGGCCTGGTCAGGACATCTCTCAGGATTAGGATGACAAAGACCCAGAGTCCCAGGAGATGGTGCATGTGGCAGCCATGACTATGAAGCTTGTTTCAGTAGCCTCCATCTTTTTAATTTTCTTTCCCCCAGTCTTTCTTTTAAGGACCCACAAAGGGAATGGTGGGTGGAATAGCCCATGTCCCCAGGATTTTGCCCACAATTAGGCCTAATATCTGACACTTCAGCTTTTATTTATTAATTTCCAGTTCCACATTTTCTGTTTTTACCAAGCATGATTTCAACATGGTCCTTGAATTATATCAATGTGGCCTTTTTTTTGTTTGGACTAATTTGGTTCTCTTGCACCTGTTTACAACATTTGTTACTGAAAGCAACTTGACCTATTTTTCATTAACATTTGTTATTATAGGTCATTGTATTACTTAATAAACTTTGATATACTCTTTACAACTGAGCTACAATTAAGGTAAATTCATCAGCCAATTATTGCAACACTTCCTACCTATCAGGGTAGCATCCACAGGACCGTTACCTTTCCATTCTGCTTAGATACAACACATGCTTTTTATAACCTCTAGCATCCCCTTTGCCTCTTATGAATCCACTGGAAATGGCCACATACAGACCTATGTTTCCCACATGGTATTTGTTCTCTCCGAGTTTGTTTCATTCCTCTGTGTTTTTGCAGGGATGTCACACCAGGCCAATTGTACCGGTACCAGGTGCAGGCCATGGCTGGGGCAGCTGTGGGAGAACCCTCTCCACCTTTGATCCATACCCAGGGCACTCCCTATTGTGGAGACGGAAAAGTGACCATGTAAGTACTGGGAGGAGGTATTGTTTCATATTCTCTGTGTGTATATAAAATCTGCTGCAGTTTCCACGGTATGCATCCGATGAAGTGAGCTGTAGCTCACGAAAGCTCATGCTCAAATAAATTGGTTAGTCTCTAAGGTGCCACAAATACTCCTTTTCTTCATGTAAGTACTGAATTCTACATGTTTGGGAGATGTTTTTAAAGCCGTTTGGTCTAGTAGAGTAGATTCAAAGGTAAACAGAAGACCTGATCCTTCACTCCATGACACCGCATTTATGCTAGCATAACTCCTCTCAAGTCAGTGGTGCCAAACCATTACTAAAGAATGAAGGTTGAAACCCAAAGTGTTTTGCAAAATCTAATGCTTCTTAGAAGGTAAAGATGGGCCTTGCGAGGTGCGGAGTTTGGATCTGGATTCTGATCTGAACTTCCCCAAAGTCAGAGGGTGCTTGGTCCAATGCTTAGGCCAGAACCAATCTCTATAAAGTGTCACAGATTTTTAAACCCCGAAAGGAGCATTCTGATCATCTAGTCTGGCCTCCTGCATAGATCAGGCCAGAGAACTTCACCCAATGATTCTGCATTGTGCCCAGTAACTTGTGGCTCTCTGCTAGAGCATATATTTTAGAATGACATCCAATCTCTATTTAAAGACCCCAAATGATGGGGAAACTTACAGCATCCCCTGGTTAAGTTCGTCTAATTGTTAACTATCCTCTCTGGTAAAAATTTGTATCATGTTTCCAGTCTGAATTTTTCTGACTTCAACTTGGTGATAAGTGCATGAGACCCAACAGGGGAAACTGGCTAAAAGGGCCAGATCCTCAGCTGGTGTAATTCAGCATAGCTTCGTTGACTTCATTGCTGATTTACTACAGTTAAGGGTCTGGCATCTGGGCCTCTGGAGAGTGAATCACCACTTTAGTTCCACTGTCCAGGCTGAGTGAAGTTGAAAAAACTGAACAAGCAACGTAAATGGGAGGCAAGTAGTGCAGATTTGTGATAGGCTTTTAACGAGACTGATCTAAAGGGCAGCTGGGAACACAGCTTAGGAAGTCTTGTTTAGTAAACAATTTTAAACCTTCGGGTAATAACAGTGAGTCAAAGTCAAGAGAGTGGAGAGGCAAGATTGATTTTTCTCGTTGTGCATCTTTGTGTATGAAGAGTGTCTGAAGCAAAATTGCTTGAATATTTGAAGTTTTGAGTGTGAAGGTGTGTGTGTGCGTGTGTGTGTGGGTGGGTGCGTGCACACATGAGAATAAACCTGAATTCACCTAAGCATATAATTTTCCCTATTTTTGCTATCAGACCAGCTTTTTGCAGCACACTGACAGATGCTGCTTGTGAAAATTGCTTGTGGTTTTCTCATGAAATGTAGCATGTGGCTATTGCTTTCCCCCCCTCACTCACTAAACTCATCCCTATCCCTTACCCCACCTTGACTTGTCCAACTCCCAGTGGAAAAACTGACTATTCTTCACATCTGACATCACTGGCAGCTCTTCTCCTCTCACACAGGCTTGGTAGTTGCACTTGCTTCCACGCTGAGTTCCCCAAGGAAGATGATGGTGGGGTGGGGCCTCTTTTCTCCCACTCTGGCTTTCTCAACTCCTTCCTCACCTGACGAGTCAGACTCTTCTCTCCCTCCATGTAGCTGGCATCCCATGATTCCTCCCGTGAAATCTGTCTTGAGGGTTGTCCTTAAACATGGGATCCTGACCCTTATGGAGCTGAAAAGCTTGAAGGGCAGCTAGTCAAGAGGGCGTTAACATTTCTTGCCGATGGTCTCTTAGGAGCTTGGAAGAGGAGTGCGATGATGGAGACCTGTTAGATGGAGATGGCTGCTCTGGGAAGTGTAAAAAGGAAAAAGGCTTCAACTGTGTTGGTAAGTCATGTGCTGAGTCAGCCCATTCCTTCTCTCCTTGGCCACCCCCTTTTTGGGCCACGATGACCACCCGGGGGAAGGGTATAGTTTTTTCTCCTGCTGTAACATCCCTGTGGTGGGCTGTCCTGTCTGCCAGGACCCTCTTCAGGGATCTGCCCCCAGCAGAAGCATTGTAGACACTAAACTTCTAGTCTTTGACCTCTCTGCAGGAGAGCCGAGCCTCTGTTATGTTCACGAGGGGGATGGAGTGTGTGAGCCCTTCGAGAGGAGAAGTAGCATCCAGGACTGTGGCCTCTACACTCCCAAAGGGTACATGGATCAGTGGGCAGCACAGGCCTACACCTCCCACCAGGACAAGAAGTCATGTCCTGTTTCCATGGTGACCGGAGAGCCTGTTGTGAAGGTGAGGCTAGGCATTTCCTTGTACAGGGGCAGTCCCAAACCTGATGTGATCTCCAGTGTCCTTGCCTTTCCTGTCCCTCCCTATGGAGCACCTATTCCCAAAGGCCTATGTGACTCAGTCCTCCCAGCAGAGCAGCTTTCACACATCAGGCAGCTTAAAATCAGCCATATAAACTTGAAAAGAAAATCCAGACAACAATCCTGGCATTGCCATGACATGCTGAGCTTAGCTGTCGGTTGCACTGCATGGGGCCTTTCCAAAAGACAACACCTCACCAAGGGAAAGGCTGTTTAAGAAACCCCCAGCACTGTTAACCCTTAGCATTCACTGCCACAAGGTTGCATTGTGGCCAGAAGCTTTACAAAGGATTCAGAAGGGCTGAAGTTAGAAGTGCACAGTCCTTACTTGGGATGGGCCAGAGCCGTTGGGCTGGTCCTCTGTGCGGGGGTGAATTTCACCCTGATATGAATAGGCAGCACGTCATTGTTACACCAGATATGATGAGAAATTATGGCCCTGATCCAGCAAGCATTTAAGTACGTGCATAACTTTAAGCTCACGAGTTATCCCATTGCAGTCATAAAAATTAACATGGGCCTAAATGCGCTTAGGATCAGGGTGTGAAAGGATATAAACCCTCATGCTTCAGAACATATGCCCACCACTTAGTGTCGGAAGCCCCTTGAAGTTAGTGGGCATCTTTCCACTGACTTCAATGGGCTATGGATCAGTGCTGAATAGCCTGGGAGAAATGTTTCCTGTGGCCGTGTTTGTGCATACTTCTCATTGCATCTTCATCCGAAACATTTGGTGCTGGTCTTTGTCTGAAATGGGATGCTCTCCTAGATGGACCTGGTGTCATCTGGAAGTTCCTATAGCTCTGTGCGCCATCCTCTTAAATAATATATCATTTTAGTTTGTAAAGTAAGCTCTTAGAGACATAGTCCCTCTCTGCATATGCCATTGCTCTGGATAGAGGCTGTGTGGCCCAGTGGATGGTGCACTGGACTGGGACTCAGGAGACTTGGGTTCTATTCCTGCTTTATCTGCTGGGGGACCTTGGGCAAGTCACTTCACAGCTTTGTGCCTCAGTTTCCTCATCTCTAAAATAATAAAATTAATGACACTGACCTCCTTTGTAAAGCACTGCCTTGTGATCAACTGGTGAGAAATGCAATAGAGCTAGGTGTTATTATTACAACTGTCTGTACAGTGCTTTGTACCTTTTTGGTGCAATAATTGTCATCAACCCAATAAGGAATTGAGATAAATTAGCAACATCATATCAATATTTCATACAAAGAGCCTAAGAAAGGGGAACAGGGAGCATGGAGAAAAGTGCAAATATTGTAGCCATTTGTGTGGGCTCTTCTCTGGCCAGTCTTGGTACAGTGGACAATCTTGAGACCCCTTGTTCCAGAGGAATCAAGATTTCAAGGGCCAGGTTCTCATCTGGTGTAAATCTGTGTGGATCCACAGGACTATACTGATTTATGCCAGTTGAGGATCTGACCCTGTATATTGATTATTCGGAACGTTTTTTCTTCTAGACTATTGAGCACAAGTCTCAGCTGATGTAAATTGGGATCCCTGTGCTGAAATCAGTGGATTTGTGCTCATTTACACTGAGCTAGCTCATAGTCTTTCCCTCAATCCCACAGGTACCCTGAAATATTCTTTATTCAAGCAGGTGACTTCTGTCACCCCTTCCCTTCTGCTCTGGTTAATGCTGTGGTGCCTCTTTCCTGGTGGGCATGTAGGAGGCTGGTAGTTCTCTCCCTCTCTTCCCCTTCATGCCTGCTGCTGCTGCTGCTGGGGCTGAAAATCTCTCCTTTCCAGGTGTGCACATCCCATCTTAAAGATATGCCAGAGCATCATTCCCTTGCTACTTGGTTCCCTTGCACCACCAGCCGCGATGATGCTCAGGTTGCCGATGGGGAGAAAACGCCCTTGGATGATAGAGTTTGGCTCAAAGTAAGTGGCATTGGGCACCTGGGCTTAACAGGAAGGCTACTTTGTAGGGTGGGGAGGGCTTTCCTATCCTTGTCCCACACTTTCAGGGATAAAGCCAATTCTTTCCCTTCCCCCTGTCCTGGAGTAATGAAGAGCTCTCAGCTGGGTCACAAACTGATCAGCTACAGCCAGGCATTCTACAGATGAGTCATAGCAACTGAAAGCCAATGACAGGCACGTGTATCACTCATTTTATCCCCATTAGTGTATGGATCACCACGGCGGGGGAAACCGAACCCTACGCAGTGTTCTGTAAATGAAAAAGCCATTGCCAGGCAAATGCAGGAACTCCTCGCTTAACATTGTAGTTGTTCCTGAAAATGCTACTTTTAAGCGAATCCAATTTCCCCATAACAATTAATGTAAATAGGGGGGTTGGGTTCCAGGGACACTTTTTTCACCAGACAAGACTATATATATTTTTACACACACACTCACTCACTGTAGGTTTTAAACAAACAATTTAATACTGTACACAGCAATGATGATTGTGAAGCTTGGTTGAGGTGGTGAAGTCAGAGGATGGGATATTTCCCAGCGAATGCCTTACTGCTAAATGACAGGTTTCAGAGTAGCAGTCGTGTTAGTCTGTATCCACAAAAAGAAAGAGTACTGGTGGCACCTTAGACTAACCAATTTATTTGAGCATCAGCTTTCGTGAGCTACATCCAGTGAAGTGAGCTGTAGCTCACGAAAGCTTAGGCTCAAATAAATTGGTTAGTCTCTAAGGTGCCACAAGTCCTCCTTTTCTTTTTACTGCTAAATGATGAACTAGCACTCAACTGAGCCCTTAAGGGTTAACAAGTTGTTAATTTAGCCTCGCATTCAACAAGGCAGCATGAATGGAGGGAGGGGAGACAGCATGGCAGAGAGACAGACACACACACTCTGTGTGTGTGTGTGTGTGTGTGTGTGTGAGAGAGAGATGTGCACATTGCCCCTTTAAGTACACTGACCGCACTCGAATTGCCTTTTTAAGTAGATCAGCAAGTTGAGACCGCAGCTGCTGCCAGCAAGCTCCCTCCCTCCTGAGTCCTGTCGTGCTTCTTTCCTCCCCCCCCCCCCACTCTATGAAGATAAGGTTCAGGAGCAGGGGGAGGGGGACACCCTGATACTAGCACCCCTCTTCTCTTGCCCCCCGCACAGCAAGCAGGAGGCTCCCAGAAGCAGCTCCAAGGCAGGGGGCAGGAGCAGCACATGGCAGTGGGGGGAAGGACAGCTGAACTGCCCAGCAATTGATAGCCTGCTGGGTAGCTCCTGCACAGGGAACTTAAGGGAGCAGGGAGCTGATGGGAGGGGGGTGGGCTGCTGGTCCACTCTGGTTCCAAGCCCTCACCACTAGCTCCAAAGGGCTGCTCTTTCTGCAAGTGGTAGTCAAAGCAGGCGGCTGCCAAGCAATGTTATAAGGGAACATTGCGCAACTTTAAACAAGCATGTTCTCTAATTGATCAGCAACGAAACAACCTTAACGGGGACAACTTTAGGTGAGGAGTTACTGTACCAAGAGGCGTTATTTGAGATTTTACTGTTAGCCTTCAAGGGCACCTTCAATATCACCCTTGCTGCTACTATTCTGCTTTAGCTCAGTTTTCACTCACTTTGCACTGGCGTAAATGACTGCACAAGGGGCAGTGTGATCCCAAGGCCTTAGGGCCAGTCTCTTCTGGGAGGTGAGAAGGCTGGCCTGGAATTCCTGACCATGCCTACAGACATGTTTTAGAGGGTGGGAGTCAGGGCCTTTCTGACCTGGCATCTGAGACTGTCCCACAATTGCATTGGCCGCCTCTCCACCAGGGAGAGTAAAACCTGGGTTTTAATCACATAAGGAGGACATAAGTAGAAGAGACACAGAGAGCTGATATGTCCATTAGGAAGATGCAGTTCATACAGTGCTGATTTTCTGATTGTAACCACAGTTTAATTTTATGTGGCTGCTGCCTTCTATTATTGGGAGGTTGTTATTTCTCTTTGCTCTTTCTGTACAGTTTATATGGGGCATGTTGCCCTGTTTAGTCCTAGATTGTCTGTAATTACCTTTTTGTTAAGGCACTTGGGAGACTTAATGCATCATTAATCATTGGTCAATAAACAGTGTTATTACCTTTCTGTTCCTAATACGCCTGTATCCCTATGTCAGAGACTATCAGGGTTGGAAGGGACCTCAGGAGGTCATCTAGTCCAACCCCCTGTGCATCTACAGAGAATTCTACCTACATAGCCTTCATTCTCTTCTGTCTATATCTCTTGGACCTTCCCTCTGGGTTCCCTACTGTGCTTATGCCAGGGCAAAGGCCCTCCCTTTTTTCCTTTGCTCACAAGAAAGAGGAAAGCCCCCTCTTTGTGCTGCCTTGATGGAGGCTCGCTTTCCACTTCTCACCAGGATTAACTCATGTTCCAGTGCATTATGAAAGACTTTCATTACTGGCTCCACATGCTCATTTTAGGTGTGCTATTATTTTCCGCCCATAAAATTATTTATGGGCTAGTAATAAATATGCCCATGTTCTTTCTCTTTTATAGTGTTTGCCTGTTTGCTAACAGATTGGTCTGGGAAGCAGGTTTCTTTTTCATACATGTATGAAAAAACACTCTCCCATACAAATATAGCTGTTTACACACACATCTCAGTAACACATGCATACACCTCCACTCACAGGACTATTTTAATGCTCCATGTCCCATGCTTTAAAAGAGCAATCACATTGCTCATTAGGTACAGGATTCCAGTTGTATGGAATGAAACATTTTCAACAGGTGGCACTAAAGGGCAAAGAAATCATTGTGCCCCTACATGAAGGCACAGATGTAAGGGGGAGTGGCCATCTGCTGAAGAATGCAAATGTCTGTTCAACATAACTAGCCTCCCATAGTGCACCTGAGAAGAGCTGGTATACTTGCAGATATGAGTTATTCTGATTTATGGAGGAGCACTTTCCAGTGGCAGTGCTTTGTTCTCTATTTCCTAAACATCAGATTCAAGGAAGATTTGGAGGCATGTCAGAATGTAACAAGCAGGAAATTAAGCAAAAGAAAAAAAATTAAAATATAGCCAACTGCAGCTCAATCCACAATAAGAAAAAGAAGCACACACAGGGAATACTTAGTGAGATAAGCCAGATACTGCAGTGTTAGGGTTCCCTCCCCATTCAGAACTCTGGGGTATAGATGTGGGGACCTGCATGAAAGACCCCCTAAGCTTATTTCTACCAGCTTAGGTTAAAACTTCCCCAAGGCACAAATTACTTCTTGGCCTTGGACGGTATTCACTGCCACCACCAAGTGAGTTAGACAAAGATTTAAGGAAAAGAACCACTTGGAGTTCCTGTTCCCCAAAATATTCCCCCCAAGTCCCTCACCCCCCCAGATTTAAAAGTATTTTCTTTCCCCATTGGTCCTTCTGGTCAGGTGCCAATCAGGTTAATTGAACTGATTAACCTCTTATAGGTAAGGGGATTCTGTAGCTCTGGCCAAGAGGAATTTTATTTTACTGTATACATAAAGGTTGTTACCCTTCCCCTTATATTTATGACATGCAGTTTTAATTCAGAAACAGATTTTGCCAAGTGCCTGCACAGGGGAGCAGTGGGGAGGGATGGAATAAGGAGCGTCCCCCAAATTGGCACAAGCTGATGATCTGGCCCTCACAAATTAGGTTGGGATGAGAGCTCGATATTGAGGTGCTTATCCATACTACCCAAGCTTCTTGCGTGTGCAGAACTGGAACTCTCCATGGTAATGTGCTTCCTGCTTTGGAGCAGGCTGTGGTGCTGACAGGATTGACCTTCATGGTGTCTCAGGGCTTCCAGTCCTGGACAGGAGGTGGAAATACAACAAGGGTGAAATAATAACAGGAGGGAAATGTTACAGGGAAATTGCCCAGCCTCAGTGATGATTGAGTGGGAATTTAGGGCGAAGGTGCAAAAAGATATTTCCTCCACCTTGCTTTGCCCCACGCCTGCGCCAGCTCCCTGTGGGCCCCAGTGAGTGGCTGCGAACGTGAAATACTTGTCCCACCCTCTGATCACTGTATCCCCGCTCACTGTGTTGAGTTTCCAAGGGTGCTCCTGAGCTATTCCTCATTATGAGACAACGCTAAGGTGACCAGGTGTCCAGTTTTCAACCAGAATACCCAGTCAAAAAGGGATCCTGGCTGCTCCAGTTAACACCACTGATCAGGCCGTTGACTGTCTGGTTGGTAGTGCTGTGCAGCGCAGCTGGCAGGCTCCCTGCTAGCCTCCGCGCCGTGCAACTCCTGGGAAGCAGCGGCACGTCCCCCCTCTGGCTCCTACACGTAGAGGCAGCCAGGGGGCTCCACATGCTGCCCCCACAGCTCCCATTGGCCAGAAACTTTGGTCAATAGTAGCTGCCGGGGCAATGCCTGCAGACAGGGCAGCACACAGAGCCACCTGGCCATGCCTCCGTATAGAAGCCATGGGGGAACATGCCGCTGCTTCTGGAAGCTGCTTGAGGTAAGCACCTCCCGGAGCCTGCACCCCTGATCCTCCTTCCAGGCCCCAATCCCCTGTCCCAGCCCTGATCCCCCTCCCACCTCCAAACCCCTCGATTCCAGCCCAGAGCACCCTCCTGCACCCCTAATCCCCAGCCCGCACCCCCAGCCGGAGCCCTCACCTCCCCATGCCCCAGCCCCCTGCCGCAGCCCTGATCTCCCTCCCACCCTCTGAACTCCTCGGTCTCAGCCCAGAGCACCCTCCTACACCTCAAACATCTCATCCCCAGCTCCATCCCAGAGTCTGCACCCCCAGCCAGAGCCCTCATACTCCACCAACTCCCTGCCCCAGCCCAGAGCCCCCTCCTGCACTCCGAACTCCTCAGCCCTAGCCCCCCATCAGAGCCCACACCCCCAGCTGGAGCCCTCACTCCCCACACATCCCAACCCCCTGCCCCAGCCTGGAGCTGCCTCCTGCACCCTGAACCCCTCATTTCTGGCCCCACCCCAGAGCCCGCACCCCCAGCTGGAGCCCTCACCCCCTCCTGCACCCCAGCCCCCTGAGCCAGCCTGGTGAAAATGAGCAAGTGAGTGAGGGTGGGGACGAGCAACAGAGGAGGTGGTGATGAAATGAGCAGGGGCGGGGCCCCAGAGGAGGGGCAGGGCCATGGAGAAGGGGAGGAGCAGGGGACGGGGCAAATGTGTTTGGCTTTGTGCGAGTAGAAAGTTGGCAACCCTAGGCAATGCTCAATACACACCAGTCCTCTTCAGACATGAAGGGCCATCACCATGACAGACCCAGGGGAGCAGAGTCAGGATTTGAGGAACCTGCATGATGGGCTCTCTCTATTTACCACAAAGTGTCTCTCTCAGTGGTGGAATGAAACCAGGCTAGGCCAGAGGAGAGTAGGGCCAGTGCATCTGCAGTTATAAGGCTCCACTAGTCATCCCTCCTCTGGGTGAGGGCTGCAGAGGAGCTGCAGGCTCCTAGAGGCTGTATTCAATGGGCAAGCCATTGGCCCAGGCCCCCGGAGGACCTGGGTTCTGTTCCTGGTTCTGCTCTGCCACTTTGGGTAAGTCACTTCACCTCTCTCCTCTTTCATTCCCCTCTGCCTCGTCTGTTTACATTGTCAGCTCTTCAGAACAAGGACTGGCTATTACTATGTGTGTGAGCAGCACCTAGCGCAATGGGGCCCTGACCTTGGCTGGGGCCTTCAGGCACCACAGTCATTTAATAATAGCAGGGCCCTGAGGCTGCAATGTAGGGGGAGATTCCTGCTCCTCAGCACTCAGCCTGGCTAGCTGGGCTGTCTGCTGCTAATGGATTTGTGCCCATGTGAAGTGGTGCTGTACCTGGAATCTTTTGCCCTTTGTCTTTGGCCTAATTTTAGCGAGAGTGTTGCATGGGGTGGCTCTGAATCAGAAGTTTCCAAATGTCGCAGGGGAGGGAGGTTATGTCCCCCTCATTTCCAAGAGTGCCTGTTCTCCAGTGATTGATACTCTGAGTTTCACTGCTGTCTCCTGCAGCCTTTGTGGCTAGTAGAGGAGTCGGTGGAAGTGGCGGCTTTCCTACTAGACATTGCCTCCTACCCCAGATTGTTCAATTCCTTGGCTGACAGCTGCTTTCGAGCCACCTGTGGTATTTTGCTTTAAATGAAAGCATTTCAGTGACACAGTTTGTAATTCCACCAGCCTGCCACCTCAGGGTTCATATCAGTGCGATGAATTGTATGGTCTCAGACTTGTGGGGAGAGGCCTGCAACTGGATCCTCAGGGTCAGGGAGTGAGATGCATTGGCAGAGCTGTCTGAGGAATCTAGACTGGAAAAGCAAAACTGTTATAAGTCATGATTGGTGTGTGCCTGGAACACTGTGTGGGGCTTCCAGAATGAGCAGGAAGTATCTAATTTATCTATTTAGACATCTATCAATCCGTCCGTCCCATTTGTTTATTTGTCTGATCAATAGCATTGCTTCTAAAATGCAAAGCCCTATCCCGTGTAGCTCTGTCTGCTTCGCCGTAATCTCTCACTCTAATGTCCCCTCTGGCGTTGTACCCTCGTGCCCAGATTTGCTTCGACAGACCCGGACTGGCCACCTCAGTCTTTATTTTCCTGGCCTCTGATGGCGTTGCCCCGGGTGACCAGCACAAGCCGACTGTGACCGTCCAGCTTGGGGATGAGAGGAGGCACAACCACTCGCTGGGTGAGTGCACTCAGAGCTGATGTGAGGAGGGAAGCGATGAGGAGAGCTCACATTTCCCTTCTCCTCCTCCGCTCCCTCAGCACCTGAGTCCCTCTCTGCTTCGCCCTTGGCTTTCCTTTGCAGGGAGCGAGCAGTCTAGCAAGGTCTGAGGAAGCACCTGAGCAGCTAAGGTAGAGCTGTGTCAGACAGCTCCTAGCAAATGGCCCAAATTGTTATGGCCTCTTTGGCTCGCCCTGTGTTCAGTGGGAGCTGGGAGATCTCCACACCTCTCTGGCAGTGTTCTCTTTGAGCAACTCCCTGCCTCTTTTGTTGGCTGAGATGGTCTGTGCTACATGGAAGACCAAGATGAAGGAGGCTGTGGTACCCTCTCTCTGGTGGGATCCTCTCTGCATCCCGTTTCTCTCAGCACTGACTCTCCAGCTCCTGCTTTCTTGACCCTAGTCTAGTTGCTGGTTGGCCTGAAGCAGAAGGGTTTGCCTTTGCCTTGGATGTGTCCTATCTGACTTCCTCACTGGGAGGGCTTACTAGAAAAGGCAGACCACAGCAGTAGCGTCTGAGCTGTGGAATAACCCAGGGCAAGCTAAACAATCCCAGAGTTGGGCTAATGGCTTCTCTCTCTTGTTATCATTCCCCATTAGGGACGCATGAACTGTCATGTCAGCGGAACCCGTTGGTCATCAATGTGACCCACAGCCAGGATTTCCTTTTCCACCGGATCACCTCGGTGCTGCTCAATTTCTCCTCCTCGTTAGTGGGCATCTCAGCCGTGGCCTTGCGGACATCCTCCCTCCTCAGCTCTTCCGCTCCGAACACCTGCCTCCTGGAACACGAGGGACATGGCCTCCAGAGACACAGGTACCACATCGCCTTGGATTTTTCTGTGTTGCTGTTGGGCAAGGGCTATCACTCTGCTGGCTTTGGATCTGTCACTCCTGCAGGAGGTGACATCCAGCTTAGAGCATAGCTCCTAAGGGATCAGCCAGAGGGAGACATCCTTTTGCTCAACTAGAGCTGCTACCTCCTTGTTCCTGGACAAACATGTAGGTATAACTAGACTTCGAGCTGGAGCTGTGAATTCCAGCTCAAGGAGCCAGACCTCAAAGAGCTGTGAATTCCAGCTCAAGGAGCTCTGATTGCCACAGCACTAAAAATAGAGAATAGTCTCAGTGGCACAAGGGATGTGAAGGATGAGCCACCCCAGGTGCATGCCAGCCGTCTCGGACGGGGCAGCTAGTCCTCCTACTACTCATGGTGCCATGGCTGTGCTCTATTGTCGATCAGATCTAGAGCAGGCATGTCTCCTCGAACTGAGATTTACTTCTCCAGCTCCAAGTGTGGACATAGAGCCTAAGGAGTAATTCTGGGTTGGTAGCTCTTTCCCATCTCTAATTTCTGCTTCTGTCTCAGTAAAGAGTCATGGCTGGAGTAGAATATAAGGGGCCCATGCAGCCACCAGATGAAGGGCAGTGCAAGTGGGTGAAGTCCACACCAGGTGTGGACATCAGTTGGAAATCACAGCAGTTCCTGCACCCAGCCTACCCGTCTGCCCTTCTTCCTCCGCTGCTAAAACAATAGAGATTCTCTATGGAGTTAGCACTACACTTTTACCTTGGGTCCCTGTCCCTTTATACATGTATGCACACACTCCCCATCACCCTTTTTGCTCAAATGGTTCAGCATTGCACTCAGACAAAAGGTATCGAGGTTTGATTCACTATCTGATTGCAGGGAAAAATAGTTAGGAAAATAGGTCAGTTTGGGGGGGAGGGGGTGTAAGATTGAGAGAGATACAGAAACTCAATGTTAAAAGAATGTCATTAGGATTAAATCAAGCACTCGATGACAATGCTAATATTAAGGTCCCCTGAGCAGCCCTGATTCAGCCCCTTGTTGCGTAGCATTATGATACAGTCTTTAATTACATGATCACGTACTATTTGTCCTAAGGAGCCTTGTCTCTCTCAGGCCTTGATCCAGCAAAGCACTTAACCATGTACTGAACTTTTAGCATGTGAGCAGTGCCGTTGACTTGAAAGATCTACTCACGTGCTTAGAATGATGAATGTGCTTGTCTCAGCGTGCTCAGTGCCTTGCGGGATCGAGCCATGGACATCCTGGTTAACAGCATCCCTCGGGAGATAGAGTTGAAACTTCCCAAGTCAGCTTTGGCACCCACCACGCTCTCGTTAAACTTGGAGAGAGAGAAACACGAGGAGAGCAACTCTCCATAAAACAGACCATTGGCGAGAGCTTGACAGATGCCTGCCTTTCCATTTGTGTTTTGGTTTCCTTCCACTTTACCACCGGATGTCCCAGTCCTGTTCCAAAAAGCTCCACCGGGGAGGGGAATCTCCTCTCTTCCTGCTTGGATTTGGGTGCCATGCTAAATTCCTCAAATACCTCGCCTGGAGCTCCCACCTCATCCCTCAGAGGCTGCTCCTTTATCAAGTCTCACGCAGCTGCTTCAGTAATAATACTAATAATTAATTAATAATAACAACATGCTTTAATTTATTGGTGTCCAGTGCTCAAAGGCCTCCAAATATCTTAGTAAAGTATGTAACTGAGGAGCAGTATTTGCAGAATAGGGCAGCATGTTCCAAATAAATCACACTGCAAAGGAAAAGAGGGAAGAACTGACATCCAAGATTGAATGAATGAATAAATAAATAATGCAGAAAGCACACCCAGAGCCAAAGACACAAAGCTGAGAAGGAATTAAAGAAAGGTAAGATTTGTTCTAATGACGATAACAGATGATGATGATTGACGATGCAAAGTTTGGCTGTGGATCCAGATTCTAATTTTTCCAAAGTTTAGAAGTGTCCAGATCCAGGGTTCTCATTCAAGCAATTATGCAGATAGCGTCCAACTGGGAATTTTGGATTTTGTCCATGCTCATCTCTAATACTGTTACTGTTGTTATAAGTTTTCCTTATGAATGGCACTGCATGAAAGAATGAAGTAAGACTGTGTGTGTGTGTGTGTGTGTGTGTGAGAGAGAGAGAGAGAGAACACACTCATGTGATGTAAGTGAGTTATACAGAGTTCTGGAAAGCATAACCAGAGTTTCAGAGTGAATGTGATTTACATAGCAACAGAAATTGCGGCTTTCTCAGTGAATAAACTTGTAAGCATTGGTCTCAGGCCACCACAGAAGGTGCACCATCCACCTGAAAGCGAATCAGATTCCTTTTTGGGAGTCGTCACAGGTGCTACACATGCCCCTCAGCCCCTGCCAACGGTGTGATTTTACAATCACATTTTCCCAGACTTAAAAATATATTTCTTTCTCCAGTTCCTGTGTGAAAGACCCACACAAACAAGTTGGGAAACTGACTGATACTGAAGGACTGGTGGAACGGGCCATACACAAAGGCTGCCAAATACACAAAGAAAACAAATTGAAAAGATAGGGAATGGCATATTGTTTTCCTATGATCTCATAATTGAAATCTCACGGAGGTTATTTGTAGCAATAATAGATACAGTTCAGACAGAAGTATCATTTTTAAATGACTGGTGTCCCTTTAAGTACTGACGTGAGCGTGCAAAGAGACATATCACGTAGCCTTCACGCCGTATGAAAGCAAATTTTAAAGTACATATTGCCCGCTAATGAATATCCTAGTTTTACAAATCCTGTGTCTCAGTCCTCTCTAGTGTAGCTCCTCTGAAATCAGCGGACTCATGCAAGGCATAGAACTTCGTGAGTTGATGTTCATCTCCTGGGGTTGTTGGAAATCGGACTGAATCCACAGCGTAAGCTTTGTAAGCCTCACTTGTCATGCCAAGTGGAATCCACACCTTCCATGATTTTTCTGTGGGTCAGGCTCACCCAATGAGGTGCTGAGCTGCATGGATGCATCATCTGCCAGCGGTAGCAATTTGCTCACCAGCAGCAATGGGAATCATGGTGCTAGTGGTACCTCATCATACTCCCTTTGAAGGAAGGAGACTTTTATGGGATGAAGGGATCACGGGGGGAGGGAGACAGTTAGGGATGGGGAGTCACACCTCTGAGCTCTTGGGGTATGGACAGGTGTGTGGAGGCAAGTCCTTGGGAAAGGGGCAGGTTTGCATAGACAGAAGGGATGATCCATCTCTACCCCTCCTCAGGGTTTTGGCTGAGCTCTGGGAGGGGGAATAAAATTGTGTGGGGAGAGATGCCCCCTGCTGGCTCTGGAAGAGGAGCCAGCCTCCTTGTCATCAGTGTGCCGAGTTTGTCCTGCCGGGCGGTAGGGGCAGGAGCCCACATAGGTCTTTAAACCTTCTCTTTCTTCAGACATCATGTGGACTGTGGTGGTGGCCAGGCCACTTTGTCTTGGCTCAGTTCAGCATGGTGCTGACACCACAGTCTATGGCAGCTGTCTATTCCCTTTCCTTGCTCTGTGACTTCCCAGTGCGGGGGGCCCAGTGGCTCTTCCTCCACCCTCTCCAGGAGGCGTCATGGTTAGGCAGGGCGCTAGGAGCCAGGACTCTGGGATCTAGTCCCCTGTTCTGCCACTGACCCTAGTCAGGCGAGCCATTCCAGGGGCTGATTCACAGAGATGAGCGCCTGCCACCTCAGGTGGAAGGAAGAGCGCTCAGCACCTCTGGCCATCATAGAATCATAGAATATAAGGGTTGGAAGGGACCCCAGAAGGTCATCTAGTCCAACCCCCTGCTCGAAGCAGGACCAATTCCCAGTTAAATCATCCCAGCCAGGGCTTTGTCAAGCCTGACCTTAAAAACCTCTAAGGAAGGAGATTCTATATCAGGCCCCCAGGACCAGATATTCCAATGAGCTCCTCAGGGTAGGTGCTGTACTTGTTTGAAAATCGGGATGTGCTGAGTGCTGGGCACTTTGGTAAATCCGGCCCATGTTTAAATGGGAGCCGAACTCTTTTTGAACCCTCATGGGAGCGCTGAGAACTTGGAAATCTTGCCCTCTGTGTATGAATGTGGGCATCCAAGAAATGGGGTATCCAACATTAAGGCCTTTGCTTCTCTTTGCCTCATTGTTACCACCTATAAACCCAGTATAACATCACTTACCTTCCAACCAAGGGTCTCATTTGGAGTCAGAAAAGTGCTTTGGGTAGCTCGGATGACATGGGCTTTAGAAGTACAACATATTCATATCATCCCCATCTTGTGGACAACAGGGTCCCATAACTGGGGGGCAGAGGACCCATCAAGCCCAGCTCCCCCTAATTCCCAGTCTTCAGAAGCCATAATAACAAAGCCTCTTTATCAGCTCTGGAAGTGCCTGGTTAATTATTTCCCCCTTTCATTTTAAAAATGATTTTCAAGTCCAAAACAAACATACAACAGTATTAAAACAGAGCCTAATAATACATTGGGTATAAATGCAGGTGGAGTCTGGGATGAAAATACCTCATAAAAGTTCAGAAATATAACATATTAGCAGGTTCAGAGACTTCCACTCACCAGTAAAAGATGAAATCTTTGGTGTTCCAGTAAAGAATTGAACTGACCACACACACACTGTGTATGTAAGCCTATTATTAAAAATAACCCCACAAAAGTAACAAAGGAGACTCGGAAAAAGAGGTTTCCGGGCCTTAGTCTAGTTTCATTTCCAGTATAATAAAAATAACATCCCTTTGTTTCTCTTGCATCTTTCATCCTGAAGGATCCCAAAGTGTTTTGCAGCCTGTACTACAATGAAGAGATCACACACCCGCACATGAAATGCAGGCATCTCCGGGGAACATGGCAATCGTTCGACACTGGCAACGAGACATAGTTGTTTCAAAGAGGGGAAGTGATTAGTCTCCCCAGGTGAAACTGCAGGAAGAATTAGAGGGAGTACAGAATCTGCCTTAAGGATCACAAGCTGTCAGGTCTTT